CGCTGCTGCCACCGCTGCCCAACGTAATACAAAACACGGTGGTGCACGCGCCGCCCGGGCAGAAACGGCTAAAACGGGCGCGCGCTTACGGCGTGCAAATATAGAGGTAGTATACGCGGGCGGTACGGGGCGGGGTCTGGATTGCCGCGGAAAGTTGTGCGCGCGCGCTCGCTCGTTTAACGGCAGTGCGAAAGCTAGCGGTACGCACCATCAGCACCACCAACAGCGACGGCAGCAGCGGCAGGACCAGCGTTGGGAGCAGCCAGCCGGCGGTTGGAACGGCAGTATTGTGGTAGAAGCGCGCTTGGACGCGTGTGTGTGTGTGTGTGAGAGAGAGAAAGAGATAAAAGCTCGCGCGTGCGTGCACTTTGTGTGTGTGTGTGTGGCGGCGCGCGCCAAAGACGTTCCACCGAGTACATTGGGACAGGTTTTCGTACGCAGTCGTACCGCGGTTACCGCTGTCGCAATACCGCCATCGCTCATCGATATAATACCACTACTATTATTGTTATTACTATTATAAGTATACGGTCATCGAATAGAATAACATCGTTTTCGTAGCCAAGACGTCGTCATCCACCGCCTGTCTTCGGATCACACGAGCTGCCTTCATCTCAGAAACCGGTGCCAATCCGTTGACCGGTCGCGGACGCTCGCTGCCGCTGCGAGGTTTTGCCGTCTGCGTTTTTTTTTCGGCACGTGCCCAACCGACCGCGGACCGCACTGTTTCGGTCCATCGCCGCCGTCGTTAAAATGGACGCGACGGTCGGCCACCGTCCCGTAGACACCCGTCGGCGCCACAACACCGGTGACGGACTCGGCGACCAGCAGCTGGTATACGGCCGTCAGCGACGACAGGACGACGGACGTCAGAAGGAGCCACTGATCTTTGTTGGCTACAACACGTCCTGTTGTTGATAGAAAACCGGACGTCGACGACGAGTACGTGTCGTGCGCGCCACCGCAACCGCCGCCGCTGAATGGGACATGGGAATACTCCCGTACCTGCTCATCGTCTACCTGATCATTACAGGTCAGTTTTGCTTAGTGTTTCTGTTTTATGTTTTTCTCATTTTCCAGCGGATGTTTTAAGCTGTMCACTTCATCGAGGACTACTATAGTACTCTTCCTCGAAAATATTCGACATTAACGAGCGTTATGTAGCTTATAGAAACCCTGCACGGATTAAAGTCAGTTTTTAAAATTTACACATCTATTTACTATTTTTACTAATCGTGAAGGCTAATATACCTACCAAAGGAACCGAGGAAAGTGTCCGTGTCCAAGAAACTTAAATAAGCTAATAATTCATAACAATTGATTATTATCCACGTTATATTGACTTTATTATTTTTTTTAACGGTTTTGAACTTTTTCTATTAAAATCATAAAATTATACCTAACGCGTAATAGCAAATAATAATATTAGGCGAATAACACGTCGTGTAAAAAAAAATATCAAAACCATTAGATTTAATATGACACCGTGATGCGTTCGTCTCATCGATTTCAGAACAACTAGTAAGTTACCTATTTGGATTATCGTGATTGTGATAGGCAATAATATAATACGTGAAWAATAAATATACACTGACGTAATAATTATATTATTATACCATAATTCCTTCTTTTCTCCGTTGTGATCATATTATAGTAAGCATTTATTATCGACGGAGATTAACTGTTATTTACTACACATTTTGTAAGTTATTTTTCCATTTTTCACCCCGCGACAGATTTGTTCAAATATTTTACAACTGTTGATTTTGACCCGCGAGCAGGGGAAAAAAGACTGCGTCGTCTGTTAATGACGTGGCTGCGATGGGTTTGCAACTAGTTGCACCTCGTCAATTCACGATTCGTCTGTTTCGGACGATATGCTCAAATGGCCGTGAAAAAAATAAATATTTCATTGTTTTTGAGTTATGTGTATGAGTATGTGACTATTGCGTGGCATTCCAGTTTTCAATATGGGAAATGCGAGTATTTTAAACGTACACCGATTTTACAACGAGAAAAATATRTCATCTGCAAGAGTGAAAGKGTAGGCTGAAGAAATGTCTGAATAAAATGTAATCATTAAAACTTGGAATATTTTTTTACCCCCGAGAACGGCACATAAGAGGGATTGTATGTTCTTAACGTTTTCGTGAAAAATGCCAATCCAAATAGCGAATGCATTCCATAACTCAGACATGRTAGCAAATAATCAGTATAACACCATAGGTTAAAAATGTTTTAAAGTGCTAATAGGGCTTCAGTCAATCGGTTGCGCTTTTAAAATAAAAAAACCACTGTGATACAGTCCATTTGGTATACATAAATTATGCGAAATTATTGTTCTTATTGAAAACCTAATCAGTGTAGAGGATAGTTTTAGCCACTTTTGAAAATTAAGCAAGTGTTGTATTTAATAATTGCTCTCATCACRTTCGAATTAGTTCGTAAAGATAATTTTAAAATTAGTTAACCGACATCGATTTKCCCTTTGAACTGAGGTAGATACTTACTCTAATAACGAGATATACACCTATATATAGCACCGTGGTTWACATTTGTCCATTTTTTCCCGAGTGATTTTGRAATATGTTTTGCCAGTATATTGTAATATTATATTTCCGTTTTCTTTTTTTTTTTTTAACAACCCGATTTCCCTGTAAACTATTATTCCACAATTATATCAATTTTATATCGAGAGTCCCATTAATTAATTTCAATTACGTATAGGTAGGTACACGATTTTTTCATGGCCTGCTTGAAAAAAATATATTACATCTATGAAATATATGGTATTGAGTTAATACATTTTTTGCAATCAATTAAACAATATTTTTATTGGTTTAAAATATTTTGAATTAAGTACACAATATATGTCTTTAAATACATAATATAATTTTTGAAATATTTTGGTACCTTTTTCAGATTATACTTCCGTTTGTATTGAAAAATAGTTTAAAACTTTTATAAAATTCACTGTGTTTTTCTAATATTTTAATTTTTACTCGCATCGCGGTATTATTTAAATTAAACAATATTTGCCAAAGCTACTTTATATGAATACATCTGAAAAATAAGTTTAAGCAATAAGAGCACCAGGGAATCCGTAATCGATGTGTACGAGTATATAAACTCTGTATTTTATACGTATCTAGACTGACATGAAAATCCCTTTGACTTGCCAACCTAAATTTATCTGTTCCACTTTGATTTAAATTTGACGGTTTAAAAATCTGAACTACATCCAATGTTTAAACTTAAAAACATCAACTAAACATTTCTTTTTTAAGTTATAGTTGCTGGATGCGGAATAAATTACAATATAAATATTTTTAAAAGAAAATTTAATGTAGAATAAACCAGAATTGTGTTTCATATTGTTGTACTTAAATACAAGATTTATGTTCAATAAAATTAACATCTGAAATACAAATTGTTTTCATATTAATCATAATTTAATACATGGGTWATTTTTATAATTTATTTATAATCATTAGTTTTAATGTAACAATGAATTTTTACTATCCAACCTATTTGTTTTTATTAACTTGATTATTTTTTATAAATATTGATAAAKTAAGTATCCCTCGGTTAAAATTTGCAAATATAATCCGACATGGTTCACTCAAACTGATTTAGCTCAAAATCTTTAATACCATTTTATTTATTGCGAAAATAACCAAAATAAATTAACTATAGGATTAATTATTGAGATTTAGTGAGAAAAAAATCTCGACATTTATTTACATCATTCTCTGAATAATTTTTATAAACAATATTTTTAACTCGTATTAAATATTTGATAACTATAATATCATCAATTTTAGTTTTAGAACAATTATATTAATCTATAATTTTCAAAACCATSTACAATATACGTATAAGCACCTACGCATACACGTACCTAATATTTAATTATACGTATACAAATAACTAATAAAACGTATGAATTGCATTAATATTAATAAATATATAAATTATTAATAATTAATTATATAATAATAATAATAATTATTATATTATAATAAATTATTATTAAATAATAGTGAATTTTTTTGTTGAAGAAACTTTTTAACAAGCGTAATATGTGCTTCAGAATATTCTAAATTATGTATGTTTAAAAATTATATAATTGTACACAAGTTTATTTTATCTTTCCGTTAAAGATATCTAAGTATACATTGTAGATGTTACATCAGCTGCACTGACAAAACTAATATTACTTTCACTGAGGCTATGTGTGTGTGTATGAATAATAATTATTTATCAATAAAATATGCATGTTTGAACAGCACATTAATTTGGAATAGAAGTCAAAAACGTAAATTAAATTAAATTTTATAGTWATTAATGATAAAATCAGAATGATGGTATTTTAAAGTTATAAAACTCATACTTTATTGTTATAGAGATACGACTATTGTTATTATTATTATTAGCATTATACGTTAATTTTATTGAAGTGATAATTGATAAAATATTGTGTCCTAGAAAAAGGTTCGTAACAATCGTCGTGGTTGTGTAAGATCCATATTATTAAAKAGATTACTTAAACAATAAWTATAATGACGATTAGGATAATTAAATTAAGGAATATATTTATAAAGATCCGAAATATTATATTAAATTGAAAATTAATTGAAATATTTYAACAAWGTATTTTTTGAAAACGTTTTCAACATTATTTTACACCTAAATAAGATTTTTWAAAAACATCTTAAACCATTTTAGATTAGTGGAATTTATGAAACATTAATACATTATTATACTATAATTTGTTCTTAAAATTAACATACTAGCTGTCAGGCCTTTTGTTTTTGTAACAATAGGTATATTATCATTACACTTTCTTTATGATATTATTCTCATTAACAAATATTATAGATCATTATTCATTACATTAAAATTTATTTTATTTTTTTTTAAATTATTTAAACAAACGTCGATTTTTAGTAATATTACTTATCAACACCCATTATAATATTTTTTGAATTATTCATACGAAAACTGGATTTCACACATTTACAAAATAAATAATACAATTTAATTTAATATTCCAATTTCCTCAGGATGAATATTTAAGTTAAAAGTTAGTAACTAGATTATCAAGAGATAATTACACTGACTGGTTTTATACAATTAAACTGGGTTAAGTTAAACTTAATATATATATATTTGTAATTGAAGATTATTRTTATTAAAATATCTTTCAAAATTTAATATATACATAAAATAAATATTAGCTGAAATTATTTCCCGTCTACATGWAGTGATTGACAAGTTACTCAATTAATTGTTGTAACTGGTTATACTAAAATAAAATTGTGAACTTAGTAACAAGATACAAGTTACTTTGAAAATGTGTAACTGATTACATGTAATAGCTACACTAACTTAGGGTGAAGAGGGACGTCCTGTCTACTATCCCTTATTGGCCAAAAACTAAATGTACACTCTCAGGTCGCCCGGAGCCTACACGTCATTTACACTTAGCGACCACTATGGAAAGTAGTCTCTGGCTTCCTGAGAGTTTCGTAAATTGTTGTTCGTCATTAATTGTAATTAATTAATAAATGATGGCGTCGTTGTCGAAGTTATCTGTAAGAAGTTCCAGCAGCGTTATCAATAACAAAAAGAAAAAAAACTTACAGTATCTAAGTTACATTTAAAGTTAGAACTTATTTAATAATTTATGTTRTTTCTTCATTAAAATAATAACCCCCAAAACATTATGGTCTCATGATAAAAAGAGATCTCGTAAGTAAGTTATAATTAAAATTTAAAATTATTCACAATTTTTTTTAACGTTGTTTAAAAAATATTATATGCCTAGTTTAATAAATTATAAGATTATAGCATTTAAATGCATTTTATAACATTGGAAAATATGACTAACTATAATATTTACATTTTACGCAATTATTTATAGTAATTTTAACATAAATATAAATATTTATTTAATCAGCTTAAATTACAAGTTTTTAAAATTACAACCAAATATATATTGATATTGTTCAATATTATCTATTATTTAAA